CATACTGAGCTTCGGATGGGTGCCCCCCCCCCAACTACATTTTCACCCAAATTTCTTACAGGAAGTAGGAGCGCCCGGCGGCACCATAAGAAGGAGGGAAGCCCGGCGTTAGCCGGCCGGCCCGGCTGGTAAAATATAAAGATGTGAAGACTCTACAAAAGTGCTGCATTCGCTCTAGGCTATTCGACACTAAAAATTTTGTTATTGGAAAACATATCGCTTTCTTTCTGTGGCTGTTTCCGTTCTGTAATTCGACACGCAATTTACTGTTCTCTCTCAGCTTACCATTAGTGCCATGAAATCGACTGGATAAACTCACATGATCTAACAGTCTGCAACGTGTTGTGATACTAATTATCCTGTTTTACTGCACGACGAGAACTTTCTAACGCAGTCATGCATGTTTCGGGGCAATATGAGCTGTCATTTATTATTTTTCGATAAATTCTCGATGTTACGTATCCTCATGATCCAAAATGGAACGTGAAAAGAATGTGAATGTTCCCAACCAGCACCTTGAGGTCGTTGCAATCGTGATAAATGTTAAGTTTCGGATCGATGGGAGTGAACTCTTCTGTGTAGCCTCGCAATTCGAACTCGCCTTGAGCGTTTGTCTTCCCGGCAGCCATCAGATCGTCAGCATCAACGCCTAAAAAAGAAAACTGCTTCGGTAGAGAGGTTGGTGTGGGCGCTTCATTTGAAAACAGAATGAGTTACATGCTTGCTTAGACCTTGAAGTTGTGAAGGTAATTCTCCATACGAATATTGCCCGCGGAGAATACTCAATAGCCATCAGTCACCAGTACTTGCTTCCCTCCTCAACCAAAGCCACACCAACACACTCTACTCTTTTCCCTAGCCAACTTTTGCTATTACTGAGATTACTGCATCCATCTAAATAGAGGGATGTGTCTTTCCGGCAGTCAGAGTTCCTTCTGCGTACGCCACGCATCTTTCTTCTTGCTGTCCTGTCCGCATCTTCTCATTTCTCTGTGAGCTGCTTACATTCTTTGAAGCGAATGGTGCCTCAATAGCTTACCAGTCGGATGGCCCTGCCAAACCGGTCTTTCTTCTTTCTCGTGTGAAAGTTGACTCGCCCGCCGCCTGACTTCTTCCAGATTAGGTAGCTCTTTTCCAATAGAGAAGGAGTTATTAATTTCTAGCGAAATACTCACACCGACACACGCCGTGCTTGCCCCTTCTGCCGTACAGAAGGCTTTACTGCAAGCACCCCATTACTAGAACGCGTAAGCTCTATCGTATGATAAGTAATGCTAAGATATAACGATGAAAGCTTACCTCGAAAATCCAACATTTTTGTCAATTTTACGGCAGCTAAATTGAGTTGAAGAAACAAAACTTGTATCCCGCTTTTTTGAAGAAATTCATGGTTTTTCGTTTTTCGCCTCACGCGGCCGCAAACTATCCTACCGCACTCCCTTACTCATTACTTTAAGTTTTCGGATGCACTCAAACTGAATATCGTCCGCTTTTTAACTGAGACCTCGATCGTCGTCGTAAAGCTTCACAGTAACTCCTGCTGCCGGCTTCCCATCGCATATTAGACGACCTCTCACACCCGATGACTGGGTTCGACCAAGTCCTAGTGAGAGTACTGTTGACATTAGAGCACAAACCAAGAAGAACTTGAACATCATCTGGAAAGACCTATAGATTCAAAAATACCCGCAGAAAGCAAAAAATTCCTAAACGAAACACTCAAGAAACGTCTTGTATTGAATTCCATGTTCTCTCATCTTGAAACCTCGGTATTTCTGCTGTACTTGAAATTGATAATTTTGCTTCTGCCACGAGGTTATTAGGTGGGAATCTTTATTCTGGCCGACTTTTCAACGGACTCGTCGTTTTCAAAGGTCTGAAAATGGCTCGAAGCTTTTGATTGCACGCTACCCCACCAAGCGCCTCCTCCGATTTCCTCTAGCATTTCTGACCTTCTATCGGGAATGTACAAAAAATGGCCAAAATTAAAACTTCATTCAGAAAGGAATATGCTCGGGAATCTTCACCTAACTTGAATATCCCTACTAATCCTCTATATATATAAAGCGCCTAACTTTGCGTGTCTGTTTGTATGCCCGTTTGTGCGTCCTTCCAAAAGGCACGTAGGCACGATGTGGATTCACGTGAAATGTCATGTAAGCTTGGCTAGGAAGTATTTTAAAATAGGAACCCAATCGTCGCTGTTTATATCGATCCAGTAATCAATATCCAGACAATTTCAAGCGTCATAGACTGAAAATCGCAACTCGCCTCCCACGACGCATTACAATCAAACCCTTAGGAATTAGAGGAGGTTCGAGTGAAAACTATACCACGATCACCTATTAGTGTCAAGAGATCAATACTAGCAAAGCGGCATCAGATCGTTCAAACTGGGAATATCACCCAATTTTTATACACCAAACTTCTTCTGACTATTTACCGTGCTGCATCACTATACTATGGGCGATTCATCTAACCGTTCGCAGCCAACTGAGTGAGAGAGAGATCAGGCTTCGTGGGCAAAAAAACTTTCTGCTCACGAAGCGTTTTTACCAAAAATAACTTCGGCATTTAACCTATTTTCCAAACTAGACGCGTAATTTTCCATAGAAACATAATCGGAAATCCATAGAAATCTAATCTAATCGAAATTTCTAATTTTGAATGTGAATTTCGCCACAGATGCGCACTCCAAAGAACTATCCCCTTCACAATATCTCAGTAGCTAGATGAAGGTTTTCCAAATTTGGAACTTAGGCGAAATCTAAACGCAGCTCATCATATGTGAAGCGCTTGCGTCTAATTGTTTGTTTGTTCGTTCAATTGAGCAGAAATTCGATATTACCTTAGGAAGCACTTGCATAAATCGGCTCAAGTTTGGAATGGGTTGGGCATAGGGCAAGATCAAAAGACATTTGAGCTCAGCAAAGCTCCTTCTTCAAGGATGGGACACGCACACGATTGGGTGATGTCATGGGCAAAAGTCGCTTACTTTACAGAAAGCGCTCGCGTCTATCTGTCCGTCCGTCTGTTTGTCTGTATGTAAACTCGTAACTCCTGTCCCCGAGGACCTATAGCGTTGAAATTCGATAGAAATACTTGGGGCAGGCTCGGAACACATACGGTGGGGGTGGCAGGGCCGGACTCCGCCCAAAGTAGGCTGGGTTTGCACGAAATAAATGTTTGAGCAGAAAATAATAACTCCTACCTCAGTGGACCTAGAATGTTCAAATTTGGAAGAGTACCCGAGGCAGGGTGGGAACACTAATGGTGGGTGACAGGATCGGGCCACAGGGGGCTGGGTTTGCGCCAAGATTGTCAGTTTGGCCCTAGGGCGTTCATACTTGGCAGGAGTATAGGCAGCAGGGTGGGAACAATTATGGTAGGTGGGAGGACCGGACCCCGCCCATAGAAGGCGGGGTGTGCGCGAATCGGCTCTAGCTCAAACTTAGTAGGAAGACGGGCGGCGGTATGCGAACACTTATGATGGGTAGTAGGAGGTCCGCTCACTGGGGGGCGGGGTTTGTGCGAAAGAAATGTCTGAGTGAAAATCCATAACTTCTGATCCTGTGGACTTGAGGAGATCAAAATCAGTAGGAGTAGAGGGGACGGCATGGGAAGGAGGCCTTAGAGAACAAGATATAATCACCAATTGAATCCTATCGCCTTTGTTACTCCGATTTTGCTTTGGTTCTTCGATATGTTTCATTCGACAGAAAGGGTAAAACCGCTGATAAGGACCGATTATGGAATTTGGTTCACTTCTTGCTTACGACAGCATCCAGCGAAGTTTGCGATCCAATGAAGGATCACCTTTCCCTCTGCTTTGATATCGTTCATGGCGGAACATATCCGACCGCTAATAATCTTGAATTCTCATTTAATGATGTATGTGTAGAGAAAAAGAGCTACATTCATAAAGAGATTTGATAATGGTATTTTTATGACTCGACAACATCTGTGGGTACCATTCAAGGCTTTGAATGCTTAAGTTAAGCCTTCAATGGGTCATTATTTTTAACATCAGCAGTGGCAGATCGAGACAGTCAAATTCTAATTGAAGGCCTAGGCATCGGCACATTTTGAATATCGTTTGCATGCCCTGTTTTTCCTCTTTCGAACTTGGAGTTTTGAAAAGTATCATTCGTTCCAAAGAAGGAGTGTGCTGTTAGCCATTTATCACAACTCTACCATAAGGAGGGAAGCTCGGCGTTAGCCGGGCGGTTCGACTGTTGTCACGTGAACGCGGTGATGAAACAGTTATGAAATGGGGACTCAACCGGTACTGTTCATAATAGTCCTCTAACAAGTCGTAGGTAAGCGGTAGTGGGAATGTGGTGTACGCATTAGCGTGCGTAGCCCAACTGGTATAAAATAGCTGGAGATGAACTCGTAGGCTCCTTACGCGCACTACTTATCTTGCAATCGTCAACCAACAGATTAGTCAGCCGCGAAGTGCTTAGTCTTCAGCGGTTTTCAAAACGACCCGTTATGAAATTCAACATGAACCTGGTCAAGTGATTTAGCACTTCTTCTTTTTCTGGAACTAAATCCGCCAGTCGATAATTCTCTCTCACAAAAGGATCTCTAGCAGGTGCGTTCTGGGTGGGAACTCTCTGCTTCTGCTATTTCTAGTATATTCATAATTACTGCCTCCCTGTAGGTCTTTCCATCTGCGTGGGTGAACAGTCTGCGGGCATGGTTTATATCTTGTACATCTTCTCAGCCAAAAGCTGCATCGAGTGTAGCCTGGCTAGCTGCTCGTAGTCTACTGAATCCTTGCGTCAGGCCTGGCAAGCTATTCGTGTGTTCGCAAGTGCCGAAAATAGTACAAGTAAATGAATTAAATAAATATACGTACAATGGAAATAGCAATATGGGTGAACCTTTTAGCAACATGAGTGGACTTTATTCTCTCGAAAAGGGAAAAATTACGATGGCTATCTGTACCTAATGCATCCAATTGGGGGGACATACGATTCGTGCGATTCCGGGTGCGCGCGGCAAATCGCGCGGCGAAATTCGCGTCGATTCAAGCAACTCCTGCGCCTATCATTGGACACAAAGTTGAAGTAGAGTACTTTAGTAGGATCCGGCAATCCTACTAACCTACTTTACTTCGAATTTGGGCCCCAAGGACAAACGCTGCAGTCGCCCAAATCGCACGGAATTTCGCCGCGCAATTTGCCGCGCGAACCCGGAATCGCACGAATCGACGCACACCCATCCGATTAACATTTCTCTTACAGCGAAAGCGTGTATCGAAAATCTGAGATGCAAGCTGCAATAACGTTATAGGCGAACTGACCAGTAGGTAAAGGTGCGGCAGTTGTCCCCGAGAGTGGAGAAGAACTATTCTCTGGAGCATGCGACAGCAGAGGCCTCGGCGATGTAGGTGTTCTCATTAACACTCAATGCTGCGATGTTGAAGAAACGATTCCAATTCCGTTTCAATTGCTTCGTTACCCTTGCCTACCAATGGGGAAACTGCGCTAGTTTCGGATTATGGAAACCCTCTTCAAGAATTTCGAGGTGATATGTCGGCGTGAAACCGTGCAAGCTGTAGGCATTCACCGGAAAACGTCCGAGCATGTAAAGCTGTACAGGAAAAAGAAATGGGAAGGTCTGAAAGAGAAAAGAGTGGCAGTTCTGGCTGAAGCCGCTGAAAACGGAAGGAGCATCGGCAGTGCTCAATGAACGAAATCGAGAGAAGTACAGAGTGTCCCAAAATTATGCGCGGCAGAATTCAGGAACTTCCGAGGTAGAATTGATTGGTCAATTCTGCCTGAGCTGCTATTGATTAGCTGCACAAGTGAGCTTTCTTTCGATCTGCATGGTTGCCAAGGTAAGACTTCTTATATCTTAGGATGGCTAGGGCACATTCAGGTCAACTAGCATCCATTCGCATGCAAGAGGCGAAAAAGCGTCTCAAAAACCTTTTTCAATGACCGTAAAGAAATCTGTCAAACGGTACAGAACAGCGAATTCACTCAGACGAACCTGCAATAGGTGGGAAGGCCAGCATTCCCTATGATAGGGCCGATAGGGTTTGTACGGCAACGGAGCAAGACTCATCGAAGTTGACGACAAAATTGGTTATCATGCAGAAATCCCATTGCTTCCCCTATTGCATACAGGGATTTCACTTCATCTATGACCTCAACATAGTGTTTTTCTTTGGAGTCTTTTTGGCCTTTATCACTCCCGTTTGAGATCTGTCGACTTTCATTCAGAATCGTAGTGGCGTAACGAGCACCTTTTGGTTTATACCATGGCTTGCAGTGGCCAGCCAAAGCACAAGTCAGTGTTTTTATCCTCCAAGACGAGTCTGGTAAAATTCAACCCTCCCCGAAGGGATGTCAAGCTTGGTTGGCCTAGGCGTATATCGATCCGGGATTTGAAGCCGTGACTATGCGTGTGAGATAGTTCCACTTGCCACTCCACCGAACAGATTAGACAGTATATACAGTATAAAATACAGAAGGTTGGTAATACACTTGGACACAAACACGCATCCCCTCACCTTGTTCTCTGGCGCAAAAACTTCAACAACAAAACCATTCCTCAACAAATAAAGCGATACTGTCTTGGACAGAGTTGTCAAAAGTGCACTTTCTCATAAAAAGTTGTTCTAAGAAAGCGAAATGACGTTCAT